TTCCCCCCTTGGAGGAGACATATCCTTTTCCAGTTGCCACAGTCTCTACTCTGCTTTTTTTCCTCATGTATGTTACCTGGCTGGCCCTGTTAGCCTGTATGTTTTCAACCTTTGATCTTTTTGAAAATTAATTATTATGGAATATTGAATGAGGCAGCAAAAAATCTGAAGGGGACCTCCCCTGGTGGCGCAGGCGGTTGAGCGCCGCACTGTGAAGCTGTCCGCAGCCTCTGCAGCGCCGGTTCGATCCTGGCCGGCCAGGGAGTATCCCACATGGCGTGGCAGACCTCTCCTGTCATGCCCACTGCTCCCCTCAGCAGTGTATTTCGTCAGTCTTCCTGTTCTGTTCCCTGCTTTGTCTCTGGTGACTCCTCACCCTCCTGCACATTTGGCCTGTACCCCAGTTCTTAAAAAAAAAAAAAATCTGGGCCTCCCCTGGTGGCACAGCAGTGGAGCACTGGGCTGCGAAGTTGCCGGCAGCCTCTCAGCACCGGTTCCATCCCTGGCCACCGGGCGAGGGCGCTCAAACCGCTCCTGCCGCCCGCTGCTCCCCTCAGCAGTGTACTTCGACCGTCTGCCTGCTCTGCTCTGCTCCCCGCTCTGGCTCTGGTGAATTCTCTCACCCTCCTGCGCTTCTAACTGTACCCAATGCTTGTATAAATAAATCTTAAAAAAATAAATTAATTAATTTTAAAAAAATCTGAAGATGAACCCTCATAGAGCCATCACTCAGTTTCAGCAACTACCATTCACATCCAATCTTATGTCCTCCACAGCCTCATCAATTCTCCAACGCCCTTGCATTCAACCCAGGGTTAGTTTGAAGCAAATGCAGACATCACATCATTTCATCAATAAGTATTTCAATGTGTATGTCCACATGATAGACATTTTTATACAAATAACTGAAGTATCATTATCACAGCCAGAACACAGGCACGTTTTTACTATCATCAAATATCTAAAACCCTCACTAGCGCCCCACCCCCAAATTATGTTCATTGACGTAAAGTAAGTAGGGTTACAGCTTTGTATCTGCTCCAGGGGTTCTAGATTCAAACCTCCACAAATGTGTACTTTCACACCCTGCCCACCACCAGTGCCCCTACAATCCTCCACCATGTTCCCTTGGACCTCTTCCCTCGCCCACTCCCACCCGATCACCCTCCTCTGGGTTTTTTTTTTTTAAGATTTATTTATATATATATTTATTTATTTATTTATTTATTTATTCAAGCACTGAATACAGTCAGAAGCACAGAAGGGTGAGAGAATTCACCAGAGCCAGAGCGGGGAAGAGAGCAGGCAGACTGATGAAGTACACTGCTGAGGGGAGCAGCAGGTGGCAGGAAAGGTCTGTCATGCCATGTAGGACCCTGGCGGGGGGCCAGGATTGAACCGGCGCTGCAGAGGCTGTGGGGCAGCTTCGCAGCCCAGTGCTCAACTGCTGTGCCACAAGGGGAGGCCCTGGGTGGCTCAGTTTTGCAGTCAGAGGTTAAGTGTTTATTATTGGTTTGGTTTTAACTGACCCTTTATGTTCCTCTATATTCCACATATGTATGATCACTTTTTAAAATTCATCTTCCATCTAGTCACGTCATCTGATTTTCTTTCTCCATATTTGGGGAGAATAACAAATGGGAAACCTTGGCCTGGGAATGTGAAATAGGGAGAAGAAACATGAAAAGGACCCTACAAACTCTAGAAAACAGTGCATTACATGATTCTGTTTTCATAACATATCGAATCCTTTTTTTTCCCTCCTGATTTTTTTTAAAAGATTTATTTATTTACACAAGAGCTGGGGTACAGGTCAGAGGCGCAGGAGGGTGAGAGGATTCACCAGAGGCAGAGCAGGGAACAGAACAGGCAGACTGACGAAATACAATGCTGAGGGGAGCAGCGGGCAAGACAGGAGAGGTCTGCCACACCATGTGGGACCCTCCCCGGCTGGCCGGGATCGAACCCGCGCTGCAGAGGCTGCTGACAGCTTCACAGCGCGGCGCTCAACCACCTGCACCATCAGGGGAGACCCCCTGATTTTTAAAAACATTCCTGATATCTTTTCACCACAGGACCTACTCCTACTACATGGGTCAGGCTCTCACCATCTTAATTCTGCAAATGGGACAGTGGAGATATGGCAGATTAAACCATTTGTTCAAAGATAGAAGAAAAATATTTAGAAGCTGCAAGAACACAGCTCTTGGTTTTCTGCTACATAAAATGGCAGACCATATGGAATCATAGTGAATATTTCTCTGTGCTTAATTTGTGACTAGGCATTGTGGGAGGCAACTTAAATACATTATGTTATTGATTCCTCTTATTTTGTAACAGCATATTCCCATCTTATAGAAAAGGATGATAAAACCATAGAGGTTAGGTAAGTTTCCCAGGAACAAATAGCTAGGATGTGGCAGAGCTGGGACTGGAAGCCAGATTGGCACTAACATTTGACCACTGTCTCAAATTTGACAAAGCATGGGCTCTACAGAGTCAGATAGACTTGGTTTCAGATTCTTTGTGACAATGGACAATAGTCTCTTCCTTTTTAATGGGGATAATGGTAACTCACTTCTAGGATTTTTTTTTCTTTGAGGATCAAATAAGATTATTCGAGTTATTTAGCACACTGTCACAGAGAAAAAGCAAAACAATGCTAATAAAATACTAATAAAAGAGGACTGTTTATAAGAGTACAATTTCCATCAATGTGCCCCAGTGAAAAGAAATAAAACCTTGTTCCTTGGACCTCCCCGGTGGCGCAGCGGTTGAGCGCTGGGTTGCGAAGCTGCCCACGGCCTCTGTGGCGCCAGTTCGATCCCCGGCTGCTCCCCGGCCACCGGAGGAGGGTCCCACATGGCGCGCAGACCTCTCCTGCCACCTGCTGCTCCCCTCAGCAGTGTACTTCGGTCCTCCTGCCTGCTCTGCTCCCTGCTCTGGCTCTGGTGAATTCTCTTACCCTCCTGCGCTTCTGACTGTACCCAGTGCTTGTATAAACAAACAAACAAACAAATAAAATAAATTAAAAAAACATGCCTCTATAAAATAAAAAACAAAAACAAACAAAAAAAACCTTGTTCCTTACTCAGCCCTTTGAATTAGTCCGGTTTTAGGCACAGAGTTTTGCTGTGGAAGTTTGGAAAGCAGATTACTAGTAGCTAGATATCTCTAGGCCTTTGATCTGAAAAGGACACACCAAACTTTATTTTCCAAGGGATTACAGGAAATCCTTTCTGGATTATAAAGGAAAGATACATGGTTGAAAATGTCTTTGAATGGGGTAAAATGTTATGAATCTGATCATCATGTGGTGGAAGGATAATAAGAATATGATTTCAATTTTCCCTCGTTTTTTCCCCTTTCTTTGTCCTTTCTGAGTATCCCCAGACTGCCCCTCCCATACACTGCCCCCCAATTTCAAGTAGAAATAGAAGGACCAAAATGGGTGGACAAAGGGGTAAAAAAAAAATGTACCAAGCAGAAACAATCTCCAGACTCAATGTGTCCTGACATCTGGGATTTTCTGTCCAGTTATACAAAGCCTGGCACAATGCGAACAATGAAGAGCAGAAGAGGGAAGTCTTGATAAGACAATAATTAAAGACACCTCTTGGTCCACACACATGCCTGGGTACAGGTACATTCATGGACGTTCCACACTTACAGGGTCGGGTCAGGGGCCTCGGGATTAGCAATGAAAAGCCCCACAACATGAAATTGCTTTTGCTGACAATTCGTGCCCACAATTGCAGGTAGGATAGAAGAATGAAAAGCAGCACCAACATGACAAAAATATGCATGCCTTCCAGGAAAAAAAAAAAAAACAGAACCTTCCTTCAGACAGGAACTATAGGTGCTGTGAGACTGGCCTTCATTTAACTCCTGGGATAGGAAATTCTGATAAAGCCACAGTTCCTTATCAGCAGACACAGCAAGGACAATATGGCCTCAGTGTTCACCATAAACCACTATTTTCTGTTTGTATGGTTTTCCTGTCAAATGAGAATATACACAACAAAATACACCATTCTAATAAATAAAAAATCACCATTCTAACTATATCCTATGTATATTCAGTAGATTTCATTACAAATCTTGTATTTAACACTATCTATCTCAAAGAGGCCTTGCATTACATCAGAGACTGTAATGATTTATTTCTAAAAGGTATTTCCCAACCTTACTTTGCTTTCTTGTTATTTGCCATTTGGGTTTCACAAGGCAGCATGGAAAGTCAAGGTCTACTTGATTGTTTTCAAGGAAGATATTTGCTCTTCCTGGCTTCCGGCAGCACTAAACCAGCAGGTTACTTTTCAATGTTTCCTTAGCAGGAACCAGGGTTCTAGCAGGACACAATGGAAGGCTCTGGGCTGGCAAGAAGCCACAAAATGGCTACACTGCTTGGGGTGGTGAAGGAGAGTGGAGGAACTAGCTCTGGACTCGAGGGTGTATACTCTGGGGTGTTAGCTTTGAAGAGCAGCACCCTCCTGATGGAATGGTCTCTATCCCCGCCCCCGCCCATAGGAAGGGGAGGGCAGGGAAGAGGACAAAAGAGCCCGAGAGGGATGCCAGGCTCCAGTTCTCCACAAAGCTGCTGAGTAGTAGCCTCACAGGTTTTCTGAGTGTCCTGTGAGCCTGAGCTCCCACGCTCAGGTGAGGATGACCAGGCCTAGAAACACCCTGTTCTCTCAACAGGGACTCACAGCAGCCCGTCTGGCACAAGTGTGGGGTTCCGTGGGGCAAGGTGCGGCAGAATGAGGGACTGGGGAAGGGGTGGGTCTGTGGAAAGCTGCCCTGGGCACTTGGGGACTTGAGTGATGCTCGTGGCCTACCAAGGTGGTGACTTGGGACTGTGCCTACGTGAAAGGCAGCCTACTGCCTTTCGGGCTCAGTGACACTCTCTTAGCCACCTCCACCCACATTTACTAACCCACAGGACACACCAAACGAATATGCAGAAAAGTCACAACTTTATTGAAATACAAAACCGTGCCCTGAAATAGTGGCTTGACAAGTTTGTGTTGAACACACTGAGCAGGCATTTAATCCGCTGGCCTTGACAGAGAAGGATGCAGCATGTGGAGCTGGCTGCAAAGCACTTTGGGAAAACGACCTTTGTTTAGAAAAAGGGGGCTATCACAGGCCCATTGACGGTAAAGTACCAGGCCGTGTTAGGAGGGGGTGGGGCACAGCGGGGCAGGGAACAGGTCGGGTTGGAACAGGGGATCCAACATGGAAGAAGAATGAATGGAGGAGGCATAAACAGGAAGGGCGGCTGGTAGGGGTTCTGCAAGGGCGGTGGCTGGGGCCCAGGAGGTGGCTGGGGCCCAGGCGCTGGCTGGGGCCCAGGAGGAGGCTGGGGCCCAAAGGTGGCTGGCGCCTAAGAGGTGGCTGGGGCCCAGGAGGTGGGTGAGGCCCGGGCGCTGGCTGGTGCCCGGGTGGCGGCTGCGGCAGCAGCACCACAGGCGGGGGTGCACCCAAAACAGGCCATATGCAATTCAGATGCTGGAAATAGATGGCGCTGCAGGGACCACCCATGTTGAGGACGACAGGGTGGCCCTGGGCCATGGGGGGCACGTTCCTCATCATGGATGCCCTCTGGCGTCTCCTCCACTTGGCCCGTCTTTGCTTAAACCAAGACTTCAGAGAGAGAGAGAGAAAGGGGCTCCATTAGAACGTTGAGCACTCACTGTCACACATGAAAACATGCCCTTCAGCGTTTAGGCTGCACCAGAGGAAACTCTCTCCTTCTTAAAATATCTTAGGAAGTGTCAGACAGCCCGCAGTCCGGCTCAGACACTGGGACGCTGGGCAGCAAATGTTATATAGAGCATTACATAATACTCTATATAACATAATACATAGTATACAGAAACACACATGTTTAAGTATAATACATAATACAATACATAAATACACTAATTGACATAGTATAACTTAACACAGACATAATTGAGATAACAATGTTAATTATGATTATTGTATACTATATTATATCATACAGTGTCATGTGTTTGCTGTGTGTTAGTAATGTATGAATCAAAGTTAATAGATTATGTCATTAATACCCACATATTTCAGGGACATAGAAGTACATATGGGCAGAGTGTTTACAATGGGGTGTGTGTGTGTGTGTGTGTGTGTGTGTGTGTGTATATATCAATGAAGAGAGAGAGACAGAGAGAGATCCTTACTTACAATGAATAGCTTAGTACAGGAAAGCATTTTCCCTTTGACAAAGGTGCATTTCAAAAAGCTGGAGTTCCCTGACCCATTTCCAGTCATCAGCACCTCAAGTCCAACACTTATTTCCCAAACATGCAACAGGCAGGAAACCACACCATCATGAGAAGGTCTGAGGCCCAGGCATCGGGTCCTCCAGCAGCTTTAGAATGCTGCCCACCCGCCCCAAACAGCTTTACTCAGGGTTACTCACCTGCACTCTTCTTTCAGTCACGTTCAAGACTCCTGCCAGCTGCTGTCTGCGGAGGAAAAAAACACAAGTGTTCAGTATGGGGTTGTGGATGAAATGAAATAGAGGACACTATTTCATCATCTGTTTATTGTCATTATTTCATGATTTCATTATCTGCGCCACTCCCACCCCAGAACACTTTCTGTAATCCCCAGCAAGGCATGCTTGAGGAGTTTTCCTGCAGAGCAAAAGGTAAGGGGATGCCGAAAAGACATCAATCAAGATAATTTTGAAATGTAACATAGGTAGGATAAGGAAGGTTTCGTTCAATGTTAGAGAATGTCAGGTGGTGAAAACACGTATCTCACGGCTATCATTGCCATTGGATCTGAGAGGTGTAACTGTTCTATACAAGAGCAGCATGGCCTTGGGATGCCATCTCGGTGAAAGCTATTTTCCCATAGCCATAAGGCCGGCCTGCCCTCCACCTGGTTTGAGATCGGCCCATGCAAAAACCACAGTGAAAAAGGCAAACGTATTTTCTTTTTTTCTTTTTTAAATACAAGAACCGGGATACAGGCCAGATGTGCGGGAGGGTGAAAGGATTCACCGGAGACACAGCAGGGAGCAGAGCAGGCAGACTGATGAAATACACTGCTGAGGGGAGCAGCCGGCGAGACAGGAGAGGTCGGCTGCGCCATGTGGGATCCTCCGCGGCCAGCCGGGATGGAACCTGAGCTGCCGAGGCTGCGGACAGCTTCACAGTGCTGCGCTCAACCGCCTGAGCCACCAGCGTGGCCCAAACATATTTTCAATCAGCAGTTGTGAGCCTCTCTAAAGCTTACACAAGCTAGATCATGGTGTCCAGAAACCCGGGTTTGGCCTTGGGTTACTTCCAAACTTCTCTATGTAAATGTGAAGACTTGATTGGAAATAGTTTCTTTGAAAAAGACACTTTAAACTTAGCGGTTATGGCCTCCCTGGTGGCACAAGGGGTTAAGACGCAACCTATGAAGCAATCCGCAGCCTCGGCAGCATGAGTGCCATCCGCTGCCAGCCAGGGAGCTGACCCACATGGCGCAGCAGACCTGTCCTGTCTCCCCCGCTGTTCCCCTCAGCAGTGTGTTTCAGTGCGTCTGCCTGTCCTGTTTCCCGCGCTGTCTCTGGTGGGTCCTCTCATCACACCCCCCACCTCTGACCTGTACCCCAGTTCTTGTGTAAGTAAACAAATAAATCTTTTAAAGAGATAGAAAAATAAACTTTTCAGGGCCTCGCTGGGGGCGCAGGCGGTTGAGTGCCACAGGCGGTTGAGTGCCGCACTGTGAAGCTGTCCTCAACCTCTGCAGTGTGGGTTCGATCCCGGCTGGCCGCCGAGAATCCCACATGGGAGCAGACCTCTCCTGTCTAGCCCGCTGCTCCCCTCAGCAGTGTATCTCAGCCAGTCTGCCTGTTCTGTTCCCTGCTGTCTCTGGTGATCCTCTCACCCTCCCGCGCATCTGGCTTGTACCCCAGTTCTTGTATAAACGAATAAATCTTAAAAAAATATATTAAAAAATTAAGTTTTAGGGGCCTCCCTGGTGGTGCAAGCAGTTAACACGCAACCTCTGAAGCTGTCCGCAGCTTCTGCAGCGCCAGTCCGATCCCCGCCCAGCCAGGGAGCAACCCACATGGCGCAGCAGACATTTCCTGACTCGCCCGCTGCTCCCCTCAGCCCTGTACTTCGGTCAATCTGCCTGTTCAGTTCCCCACTCTGTCTCTGGTAAATCCTCTCAACCCCCCACACACATCTGGCCTGTACCCCAGTTCCTGTATGCATAAATAAATCTTTCAAGGGCGTCCCCGGTGGCGCAGCAGTTGAGCGCTGGGTTGCGAAGCTGCCCGCGGCCTCTGCAGCGCCGGTTCGATCCCCGGCTGCTCCCCGGCCACCGGAGGAGGATCCCACATGGCGCGCAGACCTCTCCTGCCGCCCGCTGCTCCCCTCAGCAGTGTACTTCAGTCCTTCTGCCTGCTCTGCTCCCCGCTCTGGCTCTGGTGAATTCTCTCACCCTCCCGCGCTTCTGACTGTACCCAGTGCTTGTATAAACAAATAAACAAAAAACAAAACAAAACAATAAATAAATAAATAAATTAAATAAATAAATAAATAAAAATACATGCCTCTTTAAAAAAAAATAAACAACTCTTTCAAAAAAGTAAACCTTTCGGTGATACCTAAATCTGCCCTCTCTTGCTGTTGTGTGGTTTGCAACGGTCATAACGGACGGCGCGTCTTCTGAAGCGCCCCAGAAGGCAGCCGCCACCCGCCAGAGGCCCAGGCTGGGGCGGGGCGTAGGCCGCTGGGCACAGCAGCAGGCGCGCGCCCTCGCCCTCCGCCTCCACTCCTTTGAAAGCGACCTGGCCGCGTCCCTCGCCCTCGGCCCTTGAAGGGGGCTGCACCCCCACGCCTCCCCCAGCCACCCCCAGCGCGGCCCGGGGGCTCTCCCGGCCAGGGGGCGCGAGGGCGTCGGCCGGCTCGGGCCGCCCCGTCTTACCTCAGCCTGGTGGTGGGGTACGGCGACGCCAGGAACACGCTCTCCAGGGCCTGCAGCTGCCGCGCGCTGAACGCGGGGCGCCGGGCCCGCTGCCGCGCGCCCCCAGCCCGGGCGGCGCGGCCCCTCCTGGCCCTGCTCTCCCGCCTGCCGGGCCGCCATCTTCCCCGCCGGCGCCGAGCACGTGGTCGCCGTCCCTGTTGTCCCGCGAGCGCGGCGACCCCGCGCCAGGGTCGCCGCCCCCCTCGCTGGCCGCCTCTCCCGGCATCGCCTCTTCCTGGTCCTCCTCAGCCAGGGCCGACGACATGTCCCGCGGCATCTCGGCTGCGGAAGAGAGAGCCCGAGAGGAAGAGCGGGCGTGGGTGCCCAGGCCTCAGCAGCCCCGCAGGGGCCCCCGGGCCCGGCCCGGCCAACGCGCCTTCCCGGGGCCTCTGCCTGGGGCGCGGGGGCCGCCCGCTCTCACCTGGCGCTGCCCGCGTGCCTGGCTCCTCGCTGGCCCGGGGAGCTGGCGCGGCTCCGGCTGCCGGGCTGCAGAGGCCCGAGGCCTGGTGCTGTCCCCCGGCCTGGCGCTTCGCAGGTGCGTGCTGGGCGGGCGGGCGCCGCGTGCCTCTGGGGAGGTGGCGCCTGCAGCGCTGCAAAGGGGGCTGCTGCCCGCCGCCCTTTAAGTAGTCCGTTACTGTGTGTCGACTTCGACGCCTCCTCCTCACTTTCGCGGGCGGGCCGGGCCTGCCCAGTTGCCAGAGCTTTCTGTCGTGGGGGGGGGGGCTCTGAGTGCGCACGAGGCGCTGCCTGCACCCATCGGGAGGGCTGCTAGGTGCATGGGCACTGGCGGGGGGTGGGGCGGGGGGTGTGGGAGGGGGGCCGGTGGGATGGCACGACTTGGGCTCTGCTGGGGGCAGCTTGGTTGACTGCTCCACACTTGGCCGCGTGTCTCCGAGGAAAGGGACTCTGCTGGGTTGTGCAAGCCCAGGTGTGGAGCGTGAGAGACCCCCCACATCCCTCCTCCGTGGGCCTTGGAGAAACGTCCCAGAATTTCTCTTCATCCAGCCCCCCGCATGCAGCAGCCAGTACTAAGCACAACGGGACAATTTAGGTAGGAGGTGGCTTGCTCGGAGTGTTTGCAACAAAGTCGAAGGCAGAGCTCGCAGAGTCCTGGGGCCTTCAGGAGCAAGAGCTGGAGATGGGTTTTCTGAGCTTGCTGCTTGCTCAGATGCAGTGTGCAGAAAATGAAACCAGCAAGCATGCAGCTTGGGAAGGTCGAAGGCTTGTACTATTTTAGCAATGAATCTATATCTGATTGCAGGGATTGTAAACTCCACAGCAGACAGAATCAAGAATGCTTACATTGCACAGAACTCCTGTTTTTGTCGTTTTGTTTCCTTTTCTCTCCTTGCAACTATGGCTCATGTAACATTTTCCTGCACAGCTGCAGTGCCTCTCACTGTAAACCTTCCTTAACAGTGTGCATATTCCTTGTGTTTGACTCTTGCCCTGGATAAATATGTCCTTGCTTGCCTTTGCCTCCTACCCTCTTTTCTCGTCCCCTCCCCCACCTTTCTTTTTCTAGAAATATCTTCCTATTTATTTTTTTAAGATTTATTTATTTATGCATACAAGAGCTGGGGTACAGGTCAGAGGTGTGGGGGGTGAGATGATTCACCAGAGACAGAGTAGGGAACAGAACAGGCAGACACTGCTCAGGGGAGTAGCGGTGGAGACAGGAGAGGTCTGCTTCGCCATGTGGGTTGCTCCCTGGCCGGCCAGGGATTGAACTTGCCCTGCAGAGGCTGCGGGTTGCTTCATAGCGGGGTGCTTAACCGCTTGTGCCACCAGGGAGGCCCATATCTTCCTATTTCTTGCTAAAGAATAAATATATTTTTTATTTGTCATGAAATAAAATAGAGGCCAGATTGTGGGCTGCATTGTTTTTCCTTCAAGATGTCTTTTATAGATGCTCCAAGCATATTTAAAAGCCTAGATATTTGAAATAGCCCTGACGATGAGCCTTGTGCTTGACAATACACTTGATTTATCCTATGTTTACCTATACCACCAACTTTCTCAAAGACCCTAATTTATTTTTCTGAAGATATTAGCACATTGCCTTTAATATGGACTCCTCTGAACTTAACCACTTTCGAACTATTCTTTAGGCTTTTCATAAGGGTTTGCCACATTGCAACATATCCATGATGAATTACATTACAGACTGATTACTGAAGACTGAGGTAATATGTAGAACTTTATTAGAAAACCGGATTACATGAACATATATACTCTATAAAGACCCTAATTTAGATCACAAAAGAAATCATGTTTGTGGGCTCCTAAATGTTAGATGGGCCCTAGTCACCTCACCTAAGGCATTGTGCCCCCAGACTCATGTTCCTGGAGGATGACTAAACAATCAACTGAAAAAAAAAAAATTCTTGGTGACCAACTTATTTTATTTATTTATTTACTTATTTATTAAAGGTTTATTTATTTATTTATACAAGCACTGGATACAGTCAGAAGCGCGGGAGGGTGAGAGAATTCACCAGAGCCAGAGCAGGGAGCAGAGCAGGCAGAAGGACCGAAGTACACTGCTGAGGGGAGCAGCAGGCGGCAGGAGAGGTCTGCGCCATGTGGGACCCTCCAACAGTGGCCGGGGAGCAGCCAGGGATCGAACCAGCGCTGCAGAGGCTGCGGGCAGCTTCGCAACCCAGCGCTCAACCGCTGCGGCACCGGGGAGGCCCCCAACTTATTTTAAAAGATGGTAAGGGCAAGCAATATGACAGCCTTTTCCTGAGTTTAACCAAGACTTTTTTTCCTCAGGCTGGCCCTTGTTGAGTCTCTCTCAGCTATATTCCCTGTGGTTTGGGACTAGTTTATTGCATGAGAAACCTACAAGGGTTTGTATTGTGATTTCCATTGGATCTGCCACATTGTGATCGTCCAGGGCTTTTTTCCTTTCACATCTCAGATTTCCAGGGTATACTTGTGTTTTTTCAACTTTACTCATTTGACCCCGCCAAATGTCACCCCACATTGGCATCAATCACCATAAAATTTACTTTAAAATTTTACATTGATAATTTCACAGTAAAACTCTTAAATATTCGATGGATCCTCATTCTAAGCAATAATAGCCTTCCAGTGGCAGTTTGATGTACCAGAGTTATGGGAGCAGGGACTCTGGGGGCAGACTGCTGGGAACTCAATCCTGTCTTTGATCAGCACTTGCTGGCCAGCAACCTCTTGAGTTGCTTATTCTCACTTTACCAGGTTTCCTCATTTGTAAAATGAGAATACGGATAGTAATTACCTCACGGGGTTTGTTGTGACTATGAATCTAGATGATAAAAAGAAGTGTTAACAATGGCCCTCCCATACTGTCTCACATTTCCTATTTTAGTCAATTTTCTGTTTGTTTTTTCGTAGGGCACTGGGTACTTGGAACAACATCCAGACTTGGAATTCTTACTTGGAGACCATAGTTGGTCATCAGGGTATTAGGAGTTCCCCTTGAATTTAAATGTCAACTTCCTTGCCTTGTGGGATTGACCTCCCCAAGAAAGTTCTGACAGGTCTTTTCTAAGATACCCAGAGTGTGTCTTTCCTGATACATGTCACCTTGGTATGTGGACTTCATGTCAACTGAGCCCCTGTGACCCTGGGGAGCAACTGTTACCACAGGCTTAAAGAGTGAAGATTAGGAAGATATGACATCACTGCCAGAAACAACCTTTTTGATAAATACCAGATGGTGTCAGTTACATGTGGAATATAGAGAAACCAAAAGCAGGGTCAGGGCCTCCCTGGTGGTGCAGCGGTTGAGCGCTGGTTTGCGAAGCTGCCCGCAGCCTCTGCAGTGCCGGTTCGATCCCCAGCCGCCGGAGGAGGGTCCCACATGGCGCAGCAGACCTCTCCTGACTCGCCCACTGCTCCCCTCAGCAGTGTACTTCGTCAGTCTGCCTGTTCTGTTCCCCACTCTGGCTCTGGTGAATTCTCTCACCCTCCCGTGCTTCTGACTGTACCCAGTGCTTGTATAAATAAATAAATAAATCTTAAAAAAAAAGGCAGGGTCATATAGAACCAAACTAAGAACTAACACCAGAAAGCTGACTATAAAGCTGAAGTTACTGGAAGGGGAGGGGAAGAGGAATAGTTGAGAGAAAGATGGGGAGAGAGCACAATGAACAACAGTGAAGGACGATGGGTGTCTTGGAGGGGGCTGTGGTGTGGTGACACATGACGGGGGAGATCCTATACTTCTAATATCCAAACAACAGTGTAAATCAATGTTATAGCAAAATAATCATAAGATTATCATATATATATTTATCAGGATTTTGCAAAACTTGCTTCTATTTCCTTTTCCTCCCTCACTACTTTATTCCTTTCTCCCCTACTTTCTTCCTTCTTTTCTTTTATGGCCCCCCCACTTATTCTCCTCTTCCTGCTTCGTCAATTTTAAAGAAACTCAAGACAATGTCTTTTCATCCCCATATCTTCCTGCATATGTACTTTCTAAAAAATATGTATTTTCCCCTAAGTAAGCGCAGTGCCATCCAGGCACCTGAATGGTGACACAAAATAACTTTTTAGAGGTGTTGTTTTTATTTATTTTATTTAAAGATTTATTTATTCATGCATATAAGAACCGGGGTACAGGTCAGAGGTGCAGGAGGGCGAGAGGATTCACCAGAGACAGAGTAGGGAACAGAACAGGCAGACTGACGAAATACACTGCTAAGGGGAGCAGCGGGTGAGAGAAGAGAGGTCTGCTTCGCCATGTGGGATTCTCGCCGGCCAGCCGGGATCGAACCTGTGCTCCAGAAGCTGCGAACCGTTACACAGCGCTGCGCTCAAACCGAGAAAATTAAAGACAGCCCCTAGATATTTATTACTGCTGGTGGTTTTATGTGGCGATAAAAGTGATTCCATTTCTGCATTCACTGTCCTATCTTAGGTTTGTTCCAGGAAACCAAATCGCTTGCACACTAAATCCCAGTCCAGAACCTGGGACAGTATATTTTCTTTTGCTGTAACCAGAAGACAAGGACAAATTCCATAATTTTCTTTAAGTTTTGCCTCATATATTAGTTAGTCCATGATGACAAGGAAGCTTGTGGAAGGACTGCAGTGCACAGCGCCATGCACTGAAGCATAAACTGACAGTGCCCAGAAGCATTACCTAAGGCAGCCTGTGCTCAAACCTTAAAGGGTTGCTACTTACAGCTGCATTATCTGCAGGGACCCATCTACATGACATTCTTTATCCTCGCTAGGACTGGGAACAAGAAGTTATTTGTCATATGACCCAGTAACTCCACT